GCGGCGGAATCGTTTTAGCGAAAATTCGATTCATCAGATGAGCTCACCTACAAATGCGCTTCTTGGCACATTCATGCTGTGGTGGGGTTGGTTTGGAATCAATTCTGGTTCAGCATGGGGTATAACAAGCGGCAGATGGCGCCTTGGAGCCAGGTTTGCCAGAAATTCAACCTTTCCGATTTAGGATTGAACTCAGAGATTTCAGTGCTTCAGGGCTGTAATTTTCTTGTTCGGTGGCTTTCAAGTATATTAACTTCATTATCAGGTATATACAAGTCATACGTCGAGACTGTGAATATAGATAGACTAGATGACGAGGATAGGTTTGAGACTAGCGTATAAACTCCCCAAGCTTACCCCATTAGCCATGGTGGGAGGATGAGCTGATTGATTTTGAAGGCTAATTGGATTCTAGTCTGAAAAGAAGCACGCCAATTCGTGACAAGTGAAAATGTTAGATGATCTTTATAAATCAATCCCTTCTGTCTTTCCATCCAGAAAAATCGTTTATCACTCCTCCAATTTTTCGGAACTTCACATTAAATTCTTGAATGAGATGGTTCGATGATTCGTGGATTTACCTCTTGGCATCAATTTACATTCGTAGGCACATATCAAGAGATCCAGTGTATTCAGCAGATCATCTGAGACTTTTAGCAGCCCTTGCTTCCAATCTGCTCGTAAACCAGGCCAAAGAGTGCTCAAAAAACATGGCCTATTTTTATGCGTGTTTGCCGTGTAGCGCTAAAGCACCGCAACAGGCAGCAAAGGCGCATATTGTGACGACTTTGTTTGTGTGTGCGTTCGCCGGCTCGGCTCTGTTCAGCAACCACGCAAACTTTGATGCTGAAATTTTGCCAGTGTGTTGCTCGCCAGTTACGATCCCAGGGGCCTAATATCAACTACCACGCAGGTCTATGTCTCACGTGCGTGTACTTGAAAATTTTGGCAGGAAAGTCGCTAACTCGGGAACGAGAAAAGCTAGAAAGATGAAATTTTAAAGAAATGCTAATGCTCACGTACGATTAAAAGATTTCAAATTCAACTCTATAGAACCGTCCGGCTTTCGTGTTTCTTTTAATTATTTCTAGCCATTTTCACCTATCTTTAGCTCCTGTATGCTTACAGAAACAAACGATAGCATGAGTGTTCTGTTTTGGACTGTTATTTATTCTCAACACATTTTAGGGCGTCCGTGGCAACGATAATGAGCTCAATTGGCGGTGGTGCCACATCAATTATGTTTAGTTTCATCAAAATGAAAAAGCTGCAAGT